AAAGAGATAATAATAGTCCTTAAGAAAATATATAATATTTTAGGTGGTGATAAATACCATGGAAAAAAGTAAAGTGAGGAGAGGATATGGAGAATGTAAGAGTTGGGATATTATAAGCTTGACTAATGTGCCCTTCTTTTTATATATAGAATGCATATATATTCATGTGATACAAACATAAATATAGAATACATATTTGTTATACAATCTGTATCTAAGTATAAAAATAATATGTAATGATTTACATTACATATAAATATTATATGGTGATTTTACATATTATATATACAAATTATCATCATAGAGTATATATTTGATGTAAACTGCCTTTAAGTGTAAATATATACTATATATCTATACTTTTATGTATGATAACTGTATGGATACATTTTATATGAGATATAATAAAAACAAAACTCTACATATATACATATAGAGATCAGGACAAAATATTTATGATATTTATATTACAAATCATTTAACAGTTAAAATCATTTAAAATTACCAGTTTATTCTCTCGTATGTTCTCAGCATACCATTAAATCTGCAGAATATGCATTAAGTCATAAAATGTATAACCCAGTAAGATCTTGAAATATTTCTTTAAGTAAAATTAAATGGGTTTCTTTAAAAGAGCTTTTGTCAAGGTAGAACACAATGTGTACCTGTTGTAACAGAATATTACACAGTGCTCCCCAAATATAATGACCATAGAAGTATTGATATTGAAGGAAAATTTCAAAACAATAATTACAATTTCAAAGCTGCATTTAGGAAAACACTGATGTTGATAATTTCAAGGGATCAAACCATTATTTTAGCACTTTTGTATATTACAATTATGTGTTTCTTAGTATTTTTGAAGCTATAATGACTAGTAAAGGTAATATTTCCTTCACAATGTGAGGAAAATTGTAAAAAGAATTGTGTTTCAAATTCTAGATAAGTTTGGAATCAATAACATCACAGGTGTTATTTATGTGAATGCCCCACTGGATTATGAGACAAGGACAAGCTATCTACTTCGAGTCCAGGCAGATTCCCTGGAAGTGGTCCTCGCCAATCTCAGAGTTCCTTCAAAAAGTGAGTTATATTACCTGAGAATTTCACAAGAATTTTATGGTGTTTGTATTGACTTTTTTAAAAGTGAAGTATATATGTGTAAAATAAAGTTCCCTGCGGAGAGCACAATAAGATTGTCAGTAGCTATATTTATTCATTTTAACAGATGGTATGCAGCAATACTGGATGTGATTTCATACTACTGAAATGTAAAGCCAATAACATATTGTTTGTGAACTATGTGTACGATGTTGTTAAAATGCCATCGTTATCTGTGCATGTAAAATAACAAAATTTATTTTTAATCTCATCGTGAGACACTGGATGAGCATCTGAAATATATACTTTAATGGATATAGGACCCCTAGACAGTATGTGAATTGCAAGGCTTTTTGTACTTAACTATTTTCTTACAGCAGAAGGAAAACTGTTTTAAAATTAGTGACTAAAATATGTAATTGAAATTTATATATAGTATCATGTTTAATTCACATACATTTTATGAGAGAAAATTATTACCTTATTTTACACAGACAAAGAAGAAAAGCTTCACAGGTACCGAAAAAATGACAGTCTGTAAAGGAAGAGTTGAAGATTAAACCTACATTTAACATTTTTTGTCATTATAATTTACCCACACAGAAAAGCAAGTGAAAATCAAATTGTGAAAGGGGATAACACAGATTTTAAGGGTTGCTACCAATAATGGAGTAAATGCTATTCATTTATATTCATTGAGCACATACTCTTTTGCACTAAAATAATCCAAACTTTTATTACTATAGCATTCCTTTAAAATCTAGAAGATCTAAGAAAACCTCATTTAACTTAACTGTCCATAGAATGGAGGCACAGATTGTAAAATGGAAAACAGTATCTGAGACATTCACCCTGTGCTTTGGATGGTCCATGGACATCATATCTTAACACACCAGTAGGCAGCATCTTTAAAAGAAAGTACAGGAACAAAGAAGAGAGAATGAGAACATTAACAAGAGAGAAAGAAGAGAAAGATCAGGGAAAAAGGCAAAAAATGGATGGCAGAGTTTTTTGTACCAGTTCATGAATTGATGAGCATGAAAGTAAATGCCTTTTAAAAAAATTATTGCAAACTCTACTTTATGCAGCTGGTATAGAAGGCTGTATATTTGCTTGTAGAGATATAAACCAATCATTTGTAAAATTGTACAGAATGAATCTTTGAAATTAAAGGAATTAAATTGTCCACAGTGATTATGAATTATTTGTATAATCAAATTGTTTTAAAATAGCAGACCAGTTTTTTTGAGTTCTTAAAATCTTTAAACTTCAAGCAATTATTTTTTAATAAATACAAAAGACACTTCAAACTGTAAATTGAATTGGCTAAACAAGTAGACAAATTTTAGAATAGCTCTAAATAACATAATGTACCTTATCACAAATTCAAATAAATGAGAAAGATTAGTTGAAAGCTTCTTTTTAAATGAATAGCTTTAGGAAGAAATTTTGTATAAATATTTAGATTGCAAGACCTAACGTTTCTCAGTAAATAACTGTGTTTTTAGGAATAGGGATACAGCAAGTTCTTATGTGTAAATATAACTATCTTCTATTAGTATAATTTAAATGCAAATATTAAGACTATTAATACACAAATATACCCTTTTATGTGGCCCTGTGTGCATGTACACATGAGACCTGTTAGCAAATTCATGAATTATCCCTCCAGATATACATGAAGCCTAGGAGTATTAGTTTGTTTGTGTCCTGATGTTTTGAATATTGTTAACATTTAGTGACTGATCTTCACCCATTAAATTTGAAATATGAACTTATGCATTTGAAACAATTTCATTTATTAATAACTGTTAATATCCTATAATGTATCCTCAATCTAGTAGCTATGCAAATAACAATATTATTATGTAATTGAGGTTAATTAATTGTTTGTCTAAAAGTTCTTCTTTAGAACTTGCTGCCCTGGTTCCTTTAGTTCTTCCATATATCACATGAATAACAGAAAGGAAAGTGGAAAGTTTAATTCATTAAAGTATTTTGTGATTTCCTTACCAAGAAATTATTAATAAAATGATCTTCAAAGTAAATTTTATAAGTGTACTCTGATTTCATATCTTTATGCAGATTAATAATTAAAATAAAAAATCTTAGAATTCATTTCATAAACTTAAGGAATATTTAAGATATTAACCTTTCTGTATGGAATATTTCTTTTTTCTAGTGCTGGGAATCAAAGTATGGAACACTGTAAACATGAATATTACAGAAAATATTATAATGTGCATTTATTTATCAACTATCAAATTCAGTGTCATCACATCCTGGGAAATAGACTGACCTATATTTCCAACTATTATGCACTTCGTTATTCTGAAGCTGATCAAGGATATAATATCCTATCTTTAAATATTTTAATATGTATTTCTTAAAGATAAGGAGTCAAAACTTTAATTAAAATTTCAGCATTAACGTTCATCCAGATTAACACATGTTCTTCAGTACTAACATATATCCAGTCAGTATTAATATTAAACATTTATTTTCACCAGAATCCTAACAAGGTTTCATTCATTGTACTTAGTTAATATATCTTTTAATTTATTTTTAATCTGTAGCTTTGTCTCACTAACATATTTCATTCTCCTTGACATTTATTTGATTAAGAAACCAGAATAGAAGCAAGCTGTGGTTGCTCACACCTGTAATCCTAGCACGTGGGAGTTTGAGGCAGGAGGCAGGAGGATCATGCAGAGTTCCAGGCTACTCTGGGCTGCATAGTGAGTTTCAGACCAACCTGGAATAGAGCCTGATTTTTGATGACTACATTGAGAAGTGATCATTTAATGTTTTCATTTTTACTCCTTATTGTTAGTCAGTAGTTATATCTAGAGGCCCATTCAGATCCAAGTCGTTTTGTACATGTTTTCTAAAAAACACAATCAATCCTCCTTTAGACATCAAGTCTCTGATTTTCTTTTGCGACGGTTGTAGCCATTGATAATCATGTTCTAGATTCCTTAATCCTTCCTTTCATTTCTTCTGTATTCACTACCCAAAATATTCCTACAAAGAGAAACTTCTCATCTCAAATACTTGGTGACTTTGATATCTTGCACCCACCAGAAGAATAATATGAAAGCAATGTTTAAATCTTTCCATTTATTTATTGGTTTTCAAAATAATGAGTTGATTCACTGTCATTCTCTAAATAGCACTGAGAACACATATTTTGAAATTTTATGGCCATATTATCTCTTTTGTAGCTAAGGTACTTGATTTTATTACAGCTTTAAGGTTGAGAGAAATTATACACAGCCCAAAGGGTGTGGCTGTGCTCCAGCAGAACTGTATTTACTAAAAGAGGCTGTAGGCTGTAGTTCACTTACCAAGTTTTCACTCAAGTGCTTTAGATTTTTCATCTGGACTTCTAGATGTATTTTCCTCTTTTTAACTACTAGATTTGTCATTTAAATTTCATTAATCATCTATGAAAGCAGTAGATATATAATAGATAATAAATGATGAATGAATGATTGAATTCTATGAAATACAAACTAACAGAAGGCATTTTTAAAGAGTGTATTCTTCAATAATTTAAAAGTAAATAGGGTTAAGTAATTTTTCTACTACCATAGCTCTTTCACCCACTGCAAAAATAAAAGTAGCAACCATAAAATGAAATGTGTCCCAGTGAACACAAATGTGATATATTCAACAACTTTCAGCCCCACTCAATGAACTCTAGCCTCATAATGTCCCTGATGATAGGTTGCAGATCCACAAGAGATTTGGGTACTACAGTATTCATTGTCTTGGTAATTGTTCATTAAGTATCTATAATATTCCAGACCCTTCAATTTGATTTCAAGAAATAGAGCTAGTGTATCCAAGTTTAAGTCCTTAAGACCCTTTATGTTCACTGCAAGAGAAACACAGAGACAGTGCCACTTTAAGAGTGATGGCTGCTGGAAGAACATGTGCAATGTACAGAAGAATAAACAAGTAACACTCGAGTGATCAGCAAAGATCTTCCAAACAGCTTGACTTTTGAGTTGTATCCTGAAGACTGAGCATACAAGATTTAAAAGGGCAATTTCAAACACAGTAAGCAGATATTAGAAATTATCAAAACCAACAATTTTATAGAAAGTTATGACAGAAGTGCCAAGATACAATTTATCTAAAATTTTAAAGAGATGTGCAAGATATATATATATATAGGTATTATAATATATTAAAATCAGAGTTTGCTGCTCTAAAACCCCTTACTTTCAAGGAGAATTAAATATAGTCAAGTAAGTAGAAATTTAGAAATGGTTTTGTGTGAAGTATAATATTAGGAAATATAAAATTGCACTGGAGTATCTTCCATAATACACTCATTGACCTGAAAGGAGGATTGTAGAATAATTAAACCTTCCCACCTAATGTTTAATTTTTGCAATTACATAAAAACACCCTGTCCCTATGTTTGCAAGGCACAGTGAATTCATGTTTGAGGCTGAGTAAAGAAATCTAGAGGGAAAAAGATGGAGCAAAAGCTCTTACAATAGGTGGAGATGAGGGAATCTATAGCTATATTTGTATAAGCATATGATCCTAGAATTATGCAGGAAAAAACCCTGAGAATGTTGTCCAAGAACCAGATTTGGAAAATAAATGAATGCTAGTTTTCTAGATTTTGTTCAGTAGGATCATTTGAGGGCAGGATGCCTGCTAAATTCATACTAAAATGACAAGCCTGACCTAATTGAAATGCACCATCAAAATTAAGTTGCCCCAGCATAGCACACCAGCGCTGCTAGCACCCATTCACAATGTCTCTTTTAAACACAGCTTTTACTCAAGAAATGTTCAGAAGAAATATTTTCTACCTACCTCATGCATCTTTTCTCCATGATCTCAAGGTCAGATTGTGGCAAGTCTAAGTGATGAAAAAAATGAACTGAAGTGTAGAGGATTAAGAAAAGGCAGTAAAAAGTAGTTTACAGTCTCTTTGTGAAAGGCAAAAGAACTTCCAT